CCTGGCTAGGACATGTCCTGGTCCCTAGAGCCCCAAGGAAGACTTCTGCACAAATGGCAGCCACTCATTATTTCTGCTGCTATCACCATTCATCCTGGTCCGCTCATTCACCTCTCACCCTCCATTCCCATCTGAATACACACAGAGCAGGTCCCACCCAATTTTCCTTTAAAACTCTTCAATACCCCCCCTACTACAGACAGCAAAGACACAACTTCCTTTAGACCTACAGAATCTTTCCATCTACTTACTGCCCATCTCCCTCCCTGTTTCTCTCTCTCTCTCTCTCGCTCTCTCTCTCTCTCACTCTCTCTCTCTCTCCAGCCCCCAAAGCTTTCATGTCCTCTGCAGATCTCTCTATCTTACAAGCAGGACAGCTGGAGTAGCAGGCACCGCTCTACGGGGCAAGCAGGAACCTTCGAGTGCTTTCTAATGGGTGCATGATTTGGGAGAAAGAAAAAGGACTTTGGGCTAGTATTTAGCAAATCTAAAAATAAGGCAGACAATCTATTCTGTGCCATGGTGGGAAGGGGTTTCATTTATTGGTTGTTCCTTAGGGGCTTCCTGAAAGTTCCTTGTAGAGATTTAGTATTTTCCATAGATGGTAAGGCTGGTGTGAACACTCACCACTATGACTGCAGAAGGGTCAGTGTCATTGTAACTTCAAAACACAAGTACTCTGAGTTGGCTCTGGCATTTTTTAGGTGTGGGACTTTACATGTACATTAAGGCACCATTTTAATGGCGGGGAAAAAAAAACAAAATGCTGCTATCATTTCTAAGTGCACATACAGTTTAGTGACACTAAGTGTATTGAGACTGAGGTGGTGACATTCTGACATCCAACACCTGCAGAAACTTCTCATCTTGCAACAGACAACTCTGTACCCACTAAGCAATATACAAGCTCTTGAGAGCTGAGGATATGGAAAGAGACTGTTTATACATCCCTGTCTGCATCCAACCTCCTCATGATTCATTCGGGAAAAGCAACAATCAAAGGGGCAGAGCATATGCCCAAGGCTACTCACAGTGGTGTTGAGCAGGCCTGGAGCTCAGATTTCTTTATTAAAAGTAATTCTAGTCTCCTGCCTCCATCCGGCCCTGGAGGGAATTATCTTTCATCTTCCTGGCAATCTGGTTGTGGTTTCCATGTTACTGTGCAGGAAAATCACACATTCCCTGGGACTACCAGGATGATCTATAATCTAGGAAAGTCCTGTCTGAGATGCCACACTGGACACCATACCTTGAGGCTTCAACAAGGTAGGGCCTTTCCACTCTTCCCAGGTGTACATTGCTGAAGGGGTTGCAGTGGAGGGAGACTGAGGCAGCACTTACCCAGAAGTAGTCACAATAGCTCCATTCAGTTGGCTTGAGCAGCTGCTGTTCAGGCATTGTGTCTGGGTGGGGGAACGTCACACAGTTTATCTGCAGGGCACAGAATGGGAAAGAGAACACTGTCACTGCAGGATCAAGTGGGGAGAGCACAAAGGAGGCCTCCCCAGGGCCACTTTGGTGGAATGTACTCATGCTCCAGCCACCACTGAGTACATCAGGTAAGAGGCAACAGGCCCTCACACCCATCCTAGAGGCTACAATGAGGGAAACCTCTCTGGTGGGAGTGTAATGGAATCTATCACATTTGTAAATGCCTGGGTCCTGCAACCCAGCAATGGTGCTTCTGAGAGACTGCTACAGATCTGCCCATGTGTGCAGAGATGTGCGTGCTTGGTTGCCACTGCATGCTATCTATGCGGCAAAGGGCCGGACCAGAACTGCACTGTCCAACAGGAGGGGAATTCTTAATTAAAGAAATGAGATGTGTCAGGAGGGGTGGTGTCACTTGCCACTCCCAGGAAGGAGAGGTAGAAGGCTGAAGAATTCAAAGCCGCCCTAGGTTAGACAAAGAGATCTGTATCACACACAAAAGGCACCTGCAGAGGTTGTGTGTATTTATGAACAAAGGCAGAAGTCAAACATGGCTACTATTGGGAGGGGGAGGAAGGAAGAAGGGCAGGGAGCATGGGAAGATTAGCTCAATACACAGTATGTCCTGGTAGGATAATGACCTAGGACACAGTACCATGTACAATGAATACATACATGAAAAACAAATCAGTGGTACAGCAATAGAGTTCACCCATACTGATAAGCAAAAGTTCCAGGGTGCACTGTGAAGTGCTGAGTGGGTCTGGGTGCACAGCAGGCAACTCATAGAATAGTTTATCACATTGTGCTCCATCTGTAAGAAGAAGAGGGGTAATATCTGGTATATCCTGTGTGGGATCTTTCTGGAAGCCAGAGGCTAGCACCCTAATTAGCTTCTAAGAAGAGCCAAGGAGAGGGCTGACTTAGAAGCACCTGAGGGTCGGGAGTGAGAGGTTTTACTGAGATGCCTGTGGTAGGAATATGCACAGTTTAAACGCATGATGCAGGCTTGGGGCTGGCCCTTGTGATGGAGGGTGTGGTGTGGAAGTTTCTGGGCCATTATAGCTATTGTTCCTTCCAGCCGTGTTTGGGGTCCTTCCTATCTGTCCCCACTTTGTGGGAGTGGCTTTGCCGCTACTTTTGTTGGTGTGGCTTCAACACACCCCAGCCCCACAAGCCCGTGCCTCCTTGGGCAGGGTCTATAGGACGTGGACACATATCTCATGGGCAGCTCAGATTTCTGCTCCATGTCGCTAGACTATGAGCTGATTCCAGGGGTTTTCACGTCAAATGTCTCAGTGATGGCAATTATTTCAGAGTTTAAAACTAAAACAAAACACCGTGTACAACCGGCAAACTCCTTTGTCAGCTGAATCAGAGCCTGGGACCTCTGACTTCAGGGCAGAACTTATGTCAGTCATGAATTGTCCTGCCTGCCTGCCAGCTGCCATGAGCAGCAGCTGCCCTCACAGGCCTGGGTGAGGAGACCCAGAAGTGCTAGCCAGAAGGGAAAGGCCTGCTCCTGGGCATTGGCATGGGTGGGATAAAGTGGGGTTCCTTTGGGGAGATGCATGATGGCTTGAGGGAAGAGGCCAAGAAAGTCACAGTACCCTGGAGAACAACAGTGTGGAGTTCTGGCCTACAGCTGCTGTTAGGGGCTGGATGGGAGAAGAGCTGGTAACATCTCACATCCAGCCTCAGGAAAGGGTCTCTCCAAGCTCTTGCTCGAGGCTGAACTCCCTTTCTTTTGTGAGGTGTCCTGATCTGAACCTACTTTAGGGACCTCGACAGCCTCCCACTGGTGATGCCTGGTACCATCATGAAAACAGGGTATGGAGGCTAAGCCTCCAATCTTTTTTCATTCCAGCCATGTTGGTGATGAGAGTCTCCTTTATTTTGCTTCATGAAAGCTTTAATGTAATTTAATGATTTAAGATTTCCAACATAAAGTAATCAGGCACTAAGAATCACAGAGCAGGGCTGGGGAGGTGTCTCTGTGGGTAAGAATGCTTGCTGTGTATGCATGAGTGTCTGAGTTCAAATCCCTAGAACCCCGGTGCTAAGTCAGGCATGGCTGCATGAGGCTCAGAGACAGGATGATTGCCGGGAGCTTTCTGGCTGCCAGCCTAGCTCCATGTTTAGTGAGAGACTACCTCAAGGAAATCAGGCTGAGAGTGACAGGAAATGACACATCTTCCCCCCGATCTCTACATACAACCATGCACACACAAACACACCCATGAAAATAAATAAAGAATCACGGAATCCACAGATTTAAGGTGCAGTTACCCTTCAGTATCTGGGGGGTGGAAGGGTGGGCACCAGTTTCAGGCCTCACATGGATGGCAAAATTTACAGATGCCAAGCTTCCTTATGTAAACTGGCACAGTATTTGCATATAACAAACACAGACCCTCCTGCCATCTGTAGACTTATAATAATAATTCAAGCTCAATAGTTGTTCTACTGTATTGTTTAGGGAATAATAGCAAGGAAAAGGTTGTGCAATTGAGTACAGGCACAGTTTTCAACCTGCAGTTGGTGGGATGTTCAGCTGGCTGAATTCACAGATGCGGACCTGCAGCTAGGGGTCATGGTACTGACTTCTAAGGAACCTCATGATCTACCTTTTCCTCAGTCTTCTCTTGGCCTTAGCCACAAAGGAAGAAGCTTTTCCTAAATGGCTTGGCCGATGGTGGGTCAGGGCAAGTAGAAAACTGGTCTCGTTTAGCTATGTTCAGCATCCTTCCTGAAAGGACCCACACCAAGAGAAAGGATGGTCCTGTCTACCCAGGATGTCCAGGAAGAGAAGATAGACTCTATTAGTCCAAAGGGGAGAGAGCAACAGGAATCCCCTCCAATGGCTATCCTCAGCTGGCTCCAAGGCTGACCCCAGAAGGTCTCCAGGAGGGCTAGGACTTGATTATGTCCTATTCAACTCCTCCTTTGTCCTAGAGCCATGGTGTAACGTGTCTCCAAGTCACCTGGGGCAGGGGATGTTAAGACAAATGGGTGGACCTAGCCTGAGTGTATGATCAGAAGCTCTGGGTGGAGCCTGGCTCTTAGGTGATGCCAAAGACAAGCTAGAAGCAGCATTTGCAAGCCAGGCTGTAGGGATGGAGTGCCACCCAAGGAAGGCTTGAACCCACCTATGGAAGACAGAATAATGAACCCCAGGGTTCTTTTCCACCTCATAGTGCCTTCCAGAGTGATGCCTACAGCAGGGACTAGCAGGTTTGGGGTTTAGGAGGCCAGGGCCCCTCAAGTGGTCCCAGAACAGCCATGGAAGGATGGGGGCTAGGTGGGAGAGAATCTGGGAGATGTGAGAACCTGCAGACTCTTGATGCCTCTGCCACTCTGTGGATATTGGTTCTTGGATGCCCTGGTCAGGAGTCCTGGGGTACCTGTCACTTCTGGTTTGGTTTAGCCCATTGTAACTTCCCCAGAATCCTCAGAGCCTCTCTCCCCCTCTGGTGGTCAGGTAGAGAAGTGCACAACACTTAGGAAATCAGATGGCAAGTGTTCAAATCCAGGTTAGGCTGGTGGCAGAGCTGAATGTTTACCAGCTAGCTCCTTCAAGGCATGTGCCACCTGGGTTTTCCTGCTATGCTTGGTCCTCCCAGCACCCGACACACACAGGTCTGTGTTGTACTTCCAATGGCTTTTTTTTTTATCTTCCCTTTTTTGCTGACAGCTTGCCCATGAGGGCAGGTGAAGGGATGGAGGCCATCCTATCCCAGGGTTTTCCTTGCTCCTGCATATCAGGCAAATGCTGGATATTCAACAAAGCTTCCTTATTGCAGTGACTGGGAACTAGGTCTGAGGTACAGCATCTGTTCTCAAGAGGTTAGGGATGATGGTTCTTAGGATAAATCTCTCATTAGGATAGACATGGGATGCCAACAGCACAGGAAGGGCTGGGG